CAGGGAAAAATCTAGAATGTTCTGACCTTACTTCTGCATAAGAAGGTGTTCCTTTTCTAAAGTGAAAACGACCTGTATTTGTTCAAATACTTATTTTCACATATCACTATTACATACTCTTCGGTAACAATACAAGAGGCCCTCTCTTTTTTTTTTACACAGAAAAAACCCTTATAACCCTTGCCAAAATAGACAAACGGCTGCAACTTCATAGCTGGGACAAAGTCAACTCACACAGTCCTAGGACAATGCGCACGAAGTTTAAGGGAAGTGAAATAGACTAAGGGCAGACGATTCCCAGCTAACTCCGAGGGATGCTCCAATGCATTGTACTGCTGCCCCCTTAAGGACAAAGAACGCGAGGAGCTGCACTGCTTGTCCTGCTCAGAGGCCCGCAACTTCTGCGTGACAGCTAGGATTTCGACACAGTTCTCATGCCTTTATGTACGTTACCACACTCAGTTGTGTCCCCTTTGCTCTCCAGGCTACATTAGTAAGCTCTTGCGCTTTAAAGCTTCATGGTGTTAGGAGCCTGTTCTGCATGGAAAGCAGGCATGATGCAGCAGATGGAAACCAAAATGCTCCTTTTTTTGTATTTCTAAAAGGCTTTGACCCACTGAATCACTCACTTCACATGTTTCCTGCAGGTTGCTAAACATTAGGGTGCTGAGGGTGTGCAGAAGCCACTGCTCTCTCCTGCAGGCTCCATGGGGATCTGTATATCAGGGGTTGAGGGCTGGAGAGGGAATGTCCCTCCAAGCAGCCTTGCAGCCCCAGCCTGAGGGATGCTGGTCTTCAGGTGTGCCACACCACAAGCAATTCTACCTCTGTACGGAGTAACCAGTTAGTCATTTCCCCTACTAGGACAGGACTTGTGATTTTTCCCAATTTGCCAATTATCACATATTTACAACATAAAAGAAATTATTGTGATGCACAAATTAAGCATGAGGCACCCTAAAAGAAATTCAGTTAGGACCTGATAGCCCAACAGTTCAACTTCAGTTATGTGGACATCTCTGAGTGTCTCATGGTGCTACCAAACCTGAACGACAGTGCGGAAAAAGTGCTGTAAACACATTAAGGTATTTCAGTTTTTGCAGAAGATTTTCAAAGGCAGCTCCTCTCAGAAAGGCCCTAGAATGGGATATCAGTATATTTAAAGAATTCATTTGAAAGGAAGAAACTGAGAGACAAAACACTTTTAAGACAAAAGAAAAAGAAATAAAATGTGGTGTATATGTGCTGAAAGCAAGGGGGGCGTTAGAATATAAGAAAATAAAGATAGTGCAGAGGGTAATCTCACCCCTGAGGAGTTGCAGCTGTACTAATTACCAAAGATTAGGAACAGGCCTGCCCTGAACAGGCCACAGCTGTGTCCAGTGAGGATGAGGGCTATAAAAGAGTGGGTTAGGTGGGTGAGAAGCAAGTTGAATTTTGTTGGCTGTGCTGTAGAGAAGAAGGAGTCAGTGCTGTGAGAAGCTGCCTGTAAGATGACACCCAGAAGGTATGGAACTCTTGCAATAAGATGACAACAAGAAAGTAAATGGCTGAGATTATTACCAGGCTTGTGCTGCAAATATTGAAGATAAATGAGAGAATAACACTCTGTCTTCTCTTTCCCCAGAACTGAAGACCAATTTACTTCATTAATATTTTCTCTATTTTTTGTTGTCAAACTTCTGATCTAATCTTCAGCTTCATGTATCTGAAATTTAACTTGCTGAATCCCTCCATGGGTGAATATTGTTCCCTACACAAAGGGGTTTAAGATAAGTATGATTAGTACTATTGTGTTGTAAATACTATGATAGCTTATCATTGCTATCAATATAATTGTCCAGCATTCACAAAATCTGGATGTTCAAGATTACATTCAGTTGACAGTGAATACAGTGACCAGAGGGTTGGACTAGATGATCTTTTAATCCAGAAGATCCTATGATTCTATCAATGAATACGTAATTTTCAGTATCTATTCAGATGTTTCAATACTTCAGTGTGTTAAGTTGGTTTTTTTGATGAGTTTTTGTATAAAATGCTTTATGGGCATAGAAAGAATGGTATAACATAAACACTATTTTGGAAGCTACCTGAATCTTTTTCAGGGAAAAAAACAAGTAACTGAAATAAGATAGATGTACTGATATAATCAGCAAGGCAGACAAACTTTATATGAGAATAGCATGAACCACTAACTGTGGGTGACCTTTTGGACTCTCTGAAGTCAATCAAAATTGTGGCCATCAACTTCAGTGGGACAGGAATTTGCTCTGTGTTTTCTAAAGTGAGCAGCTTTAGGAAGGTAAATTGCCTTTTGCTCTCTTTTCAGCTGCTGCATCATCTGGATAGTTATTGTCCCTGTTGTGTGTGAGGTCCTGGATGTGCCTTTTTTGTATGCTCAGGTTTCACACATGCTATTTTTTAAAATGTATTTAGGCATATATGTGTTTCTTTAACATATGTCTAAAGCGCATATATGTATCAATATTTCTACATAATTTATGGTGTGTATACGCATATAATGTATGGTGTGGGTATATATTACATGGTATGCGTATATCTACATACACACCAGCATTAGAAAGTACATTAATGCCTGTGGGAGATTCTGAGAACCCTTGAGAGAAGCTGCTGCCGTACAATGGGCTTTGGTAAAATTACATGTAATCCATTTCTATCCTGTTCTGGCACCTTAAATGCTCATCCTGCCCTACTACTAGCAGTTTTGAACTTTATTCCTAGTTTCTATATATGTTCCTGTCTAGTTTATTTCCTAATCTGATACTGAACTTCTCAGTAGAATTTTTAAATGCATGTGAGAGGTCATGCTATGAAATTTCTCTCATCTGTGTCTACCTGAACATAGCAAACTGAATCCTAATAATGTATATTAAGAGCTACAATGCAGAATAAGTACCTTGTAGCTCTTAATATATAATAAAATTGTATCTATTAACTACTTGAATGTATTTTCAAAAGTGTTTTTCTCTGTAATACCAAAGTATCATTGAGTGATCCTGCAAAAATAAAATCATAATTTGATATAATCAAAATTTCTGATACATGCTACTACGGTTATGAACTCCAACTTAAGCATCTACAAAGCACAGCATTTACAGCTGTGCAAAGGTAGGCAACACGGGAAAAGATGACTTGTATTAAATGTTTTTTAACAATTGCTCTCAATTCAATTACCTTTTATACTATTCTATTTATAGCCACACAAGAATTTTAAAAGAAAATATATGTATTTATAATCAACAAGAATTTTTCATGTTTTGTGAATCAAAAAGTTTTGGTGGTGTCATTGACCTACTGAGAGCAAAGAATTGAAGAATAAGGAGGTCCTTCAAACAAGGCTGTCAAGCCCATTTGTTTTAGCATCCTGAGTCCAGCCTTCACTACATTTAAGTTCAACCGCTGAGAATAAGACTACCTCAATGCAATTTTCATCTGTTTGTTGTTTGCCTTTCCCCAAATGTAGTACTTTCTTTCAGACAGCTCTTTCTTTCTAATTGCACTACAGCATTATTTATTCAGCAGTTACTTAGCAAAATCTCATTTGTTTATGTATTCTGGACACAGACTGTACTGTTCTTAATTTTTTTTGTTTGATTACCAAAACTTCCAATAAATTAAGAGGTATCTATGGAATTACCTATGAAATTGTGGATTTTCCACAGCCAAATGCACAGCATAAGTGGTTCACTGTATACAGTTTACCCTGCAGGGACTTTGATACATAAATCAGAAAACAGCTTGCCCTGGAAACGACCTTTAAGATCATCTGGTTCCAACCCTCCTGCCATGAATCTTCCACTAGATCAGGCTGCCTGGGGCCCCATCCAACCTAACCTTCAACTATTCATGGATGGGGCATCCACAACTTCTTTGGGCTACCTGTTCCAGTGCCCCACCACCCTTATAGGAAAAAATTTCTTCCCTATGTCTAACCCAAACCTGGCCTCAGTTTAAAGCCCTTGTCCTATCATAAATGCCTTTGTAGAAATCCCTCTCCAGCTTTCATGTAAGTTCCTTTAGGTGCTGGAAGGCTGCTGTAAGGTCTTCCTGAAGCCTTCTCTTCTCCAGGCTGAACAACCGCAGTTCTCTCAGCCTGTCCTCATAAGAGAGATGCTCCGGTCCTTTCATTATCTTCATGACCCTCCTCGGGACTTGCTCCAGCAGGTGCACATCTTTCTTATGCTGGAGGCCTCAGAGCTGGACGTAACAGGAGTGGAGTAGATGGGCAGAATCCCCCCCTCCCCCTGCTCTCCACATCTCTTGTGATGCATCCCAGGACACAGTTGGCTTTCTGGGCTGGAATTGCACATTACTGGGTCACATTGAGCTTCTTCTCCAATACCCTCCAGGTCCTTCTACTCAAGGCTGCTTTCTGTCCATTCACCCCCCGGCCTGCACTTGTGCTTGGGATTGTCCTGACCCGGCTGCGGGACCGTGCACTTGGTTCAGTTTCACGAGGTTTGCACAGTGCCACCTCTCAAGCCTGTCAAGGTCCCGCTGGATGACATCCCTTCACCCCAGCGAGTCGGCTGCACAACACAGCTTGGTGTCATCACAAACGTGCTGAGGATTCATAACGAAGTAGTAAGTAGAGTTTTTCTACTTTCATATATGCTAATCGTCCCCGTTAGGGCCCTTGCGGTGAGGCACCGGCTGTCCAGTCACTAACCAGGGCTGTCTCCTGTTCCCCGCTGCTCCCTGCTCACCGTGTCCCCGCACACACTCCCCGAGGACTCGCGGTCTGCCAGGCGAGCGGGGCCCTCCGTTCCCACGCCGGCTCCCGAGCGCACAAAGCCGCGGCGGGAAGCGTGTTTTTCGAATCCGAGCGCTTGGACACGCCTCCGGCCGCCCTCCGTGCGCCCGCCCCTCCATCCCCGGCTGGCCGAGGGGCTGTGCCGCAGGTGAGGGCGGCCCCGCCGGGGCGGAGCGCAGCGGGCCGAGGGTGTCCCGCGGGCCCCGCTCGGCTCTGCCCGGCTCGGCTCCGCAGGAAGCGCCGCCCGCGCTCCTTCCTCCTCCCGCCTCTTTCTCCTCCTCCTCCGCCCGCCTGCGGCGGTGGCGGCGGCTCGGCGATGCAGCAGCACTTTTCCCTGGCTGAGTGCGACGTGGTGGGCTTCGACCTGGACCACACGCTCTGCCGGTACCACCTCCCGCAGAGCGCACGGGTGAGTGCGGGCGGCGCGGCGCGGCCGGGGAGCCGCGGGAGGGGCCCCGCTCCGCCCGCTGCCGCCGCATGCCCCGCCGAAGGCAAGCGGGGCCGGAGCCCTGCGGCGGGGGCAGCGAGACCGGGGCCGGCCCGGAACCTCAGACACCCACGGAGGATAAGAGAATCGCAAGTGCATCTCTCGCCGGGCGCTTCCTCAGCAGGCCTCTCTGCCCGAGCGGAGGGGACAGCCATGTCTCGTTCCTTGAAAATGGTTCTGCTTTCCTGGCCGTAGCGGCGCTGAGGAAAAGGTAGAGCCCGCCCGCTAAATCCAGAGATGCTGCAGAGTGAGGAGCCCGCAGCGCTTTGGACCTTTGCGAACTTTCTGGTGCTTGTAATAAAACGCCGAGTTTAGAGGCACCTCTGACTTAGCCCTGTGGTCTCTTTCGAAGAGAAATTGCTGCCTGTGCTGTGCGTTCCCGCCCTTGTCACTTTCGTTTTTCAACTCCTTGGTAATCTTACACTGACTCGTCCTTCTCTGTTGATGTCAGGACTGTTCTGGAGGTATCTTGTGTCGTGGATGCTCATGGTGTCTCACTCTCCCCCTTTCTTTGTCTCCATTCACTTACAGTACATTTTGCACTGCACAGGACTCCCACACTAATTGCAAGATAATTTCAGAATTTGGTATAGAAACAAATATTTATGAGCTGTACCATTTATTAATAGGCATCCTGTGCTGAAAAAGTGCATTGCTTCCCTTAGCTATGTGTGAACTTAAGTGGAGAGGCATCTTGCTTACAAGAGAGGATTCAACAGTAACAATAAAATATACGAGCTCTTAAATTTCCAGGTGGAAACTGTGTAACACTGGGCTTACTTTCCCTATTCTTGCCATACACAAGCACGTTCTTTCTGATACAAATTCTGTATGATGGAGGCAAACATTAGACAATCGATTATAAGAGTTTTTTAAAAATGCTAACCAACCAGTGAACAAAGTGGAGAAAAAATCCCAAAACTTTTACTAAACTTAGTACACTCTTCGTCTTCTCACAGGAGACAGAGGTAGACTGACACATGCCCATTGCATGCCTCCTTATCTCTTGGAAATACTTTAAAAGGCTCATAGGCCCAGCTGATGATGTAGTTAGTTCTTACTATTCCAACATTGTCTTCCATAATTTGTCTTTCTCAGACATTATTCATCCAAATCCAAGAAGATCTGTTGTGATTAAAGAAAAAAGGCCAGGGAACAGCTTTAATGAAAGGACCACAAGAAAAAGAGAGCAATTACTATTTTTAAATAGTCTTTAAGGACATGGCAGCATCTCCATAGAGCTTCCTGTAAAACTTTACGCGCACAGTACATTAATAAATTGCTGAGTGTCGTGCTAGGCCATTTGAACTTAGAAATAATAACTGTTTATTCAGTAGTTGCCTATTTTCTTCAAAATTAATTCCTTCAAATAGATTTAAAATACCCCTAAGGATAAATGTTTACTGGTTTAAAAGCCGCTTGTTGAATGTCAGTAACCACAACATTTTAAATTGAAAAAAAAAAAAGAAATAAAGCAAAAAGGATGACTGGGGAGGGGGAAATAGTGACTAGCCTTTAAGTACTTACCATCTTGGTTTCCCAACAGTCTTGAAGCGCAGGGGCTGTAAAGTAGAATGTTGTAATCTGGGTCATGGTGAACACATTGCACCAGAACTCTTGTATGTGTTCCAGTCATGACTAAATAACCTCAGGCACAATTTCCCAGTGGAGGCAGTGGGACAGGGCCCCAAGCTCCATAGTTTGATTTCACTTAGGAAGCATTAACACTTGCATCTTGCCGCTCCTCAAGGAAGCAGTGGCTTTGATCTCACTTCACTAATATAATAAATGCAATGTTTGTTTTTTTTTCATTTGTAGCTAATATATGATAGTTTTGCCCAGTATCTGGTAACAGAGAAGGGTTATGATGAAGATTTGCTGACTCTAGCTCCAGACAGCTTAGATTTCTGGTGAGTACATTGAAAATAATGTCGTTCCTTTACACTATAACTTTTTTACAAAGCTCAGAGAACAGCTTCATTTATTAGGCAGTTAATGTTATGATTGTCAAGTGCAATGGATAAATCCAAAATTACAGTTTCAAATACTTGTTCTAAGAAGTATTTGTCATGAGATACTTCTAACAGGGTATTTTGGAGAGGGAACTGAGCATCTAAGCTTGCTTTGTCTGTGCTTCCAGCTGTCTGGACACAAGCATTTTAGTCTCACTCTCTTTAATTAGGTATCATCTTTGTCTTCTATATTCTATTCAACAGTAACCATCAGATTTTAGTCATTTTTACCTCAACAGATGTTGTTTTGTTTGTGTAAGGCAGATTAATCCCAACAGGCACGGAAAGGTGACCTGCCAGGAGGTAGCCCTTGGGTGGCACATCAGGCACAAAGCCATGATGAAAAAGACTGAAACCCAAGTTCCTGCTCTGAACTCAGTGGTCTCTGAGCAGGAACTTAACTTGAATCTTGATAATTTTACTTTATAAAGTTATTATCTAGGCCGTGGGGGTGGAGACTTGAAGGCCAAATAACTATTAGATACACATACATTTTTTTTTTCAAATAATGTGCATATTCTTGTGTAATGGTTCTTTACCATTCAATATTTCACTGGACAATTTCCAATGAGATTAATTTCAACTTCCATGAGACAAGCAATGTATCTATATCATATTTTGAGGCCTATGATGCAAGAAATCCTTTTTTCAGCTCTAGATGTCTTGGGTTTGGTCTCTTATTGAAGCAGAAGGTTCATTAACATGGACCTGCAAGTCCACAGTGTTGGTAGCAAGTGTGTCATTGCTTCTTGCCCAGAAGTCATTCATGAAAGGTTGGCATCTGCTTGCTGCCTTCATGGAATATGTTTTTTCCTTTGGGGGCCTCATAGAGGATGAAGGTGCCATTGCTTCCTCAGTCTCATTTATTCATTTGTATTCTAACTGCTGAACTCTGAATTAATTTTTCAAAGAACCTAAGCAAATTTGGATCATAAGATTTATTAGGGAGAATTAGAAACTCTTGCCAAGTGTCTCCAATGCTATCAACTCTTCCCTTTGTTTGTGCTGGCTAACATGGCAATGCGTCTGCTTCATGTGTTCTTAGCTTATTGAGTTGCCTCATTTAGAGTGATGTCCTACCCCTCTTTTCTGTAATAACTGGTGTAGTCAGTCAAGTAACAACTAGAGGAGTTGCCACCAAAATAAGAAATCTTTATTGGAAGTGACTTAAATATCACATTTCTTAGTTTTATATGTTTAGACCTGAAACCTCCAACCAATCTTTATAGGACTCCCTAAATTTACTGGACATGGAACTGGGTTTATTTAGTAGAATTTTGCTATGTAAGGAAAATCTGGTCCTCATTGTAATAATGTGCACTTTCATAAAGAGAGGATTGTTCAAGCATGGAAATATTGAGAGGGTTGTGACTTGTTTGGTGTTCTGTAGCATCATAGCTACAGAAGTACCATAACTTCTGTAACTGCATATCACTGATAGATAAGAAGACAGTCCTCTGAAACAATAATTTTTTGTTTCTTCCCTAAAATTAATTTATTCTTAGTTGCAAAGGCTTGGTGTTGGACATTGAAGAAGGAAACTTCTTGAAACTTGCAGAAGATGGAACAGTTTTAAGGTAATATTGACAATAAAATCTATATCGTTAAATATAAGTTATATTGTTAAATATACTAACATTTTATGTCTTTCCTAAATGCTGTCTCTCACTTTTGTAAATATTTAAAATATTTATTTCAGCATGCATTCATTTATTAGATGTAAAAGTTTAAATACTCTTTGGTATTGGGGTGCTTTGTTTCTTTTAATGTTACATATGGAATCTTTTGGTAATGTTTTAACGTTAGCTGGTAGTAAATAATACCTCATTTTTAATAAAATCTGAGACTCTGAGGACACATTGATCTTGAAAGTAAATTCATTTTTTTGGTGGCTACCGATGTACTCTTTGTCCACTTCTACTAAAATCCTGGGTAAGAATTGAGAATAACCTGGCTTGGGGGCAGTACTAATGACTAATAGTAATGACTGAAATGGCTATTTTCTTTGTGCTGTAGACATTCAAAATTCTGAAAGTTTACAACTTATAATTTAAACAGTCTGAGATAAATTAACCATAGAAGCTGATACGTTCACTTTCGGAAGTCTGGGGGGTTTCCGCTTAAAAGCTACTTTGCTTTCAGTTGTCACTTTCAGTAAATTCTTAGTTCTTCTTTCTTACCTTCCTTTTTTTTTTGTTTAATATAGAAGACTGCTATTTGGAGTCAAAAATCTGAAAAGTAAATGTATCTAAAATATATCAATCCTAGTCCCATTTCTCCCTACTAATTTTGTTCCAGAACAAAAATCTGTGTAATTTAGAATGCAAGACAGAGTCTACTTTTTTTTTTTTTCTTCTGATAGCTCTCTGAATGAGCTTGAAGATGCTAAGGAAAGTCAGATCTCATTAAAAGAAGAAAGAAGTACTTTTGAGTCATTGCTGTTGTATCCTAAAATTCATTTAATAGCATGAATTTTGGAGTACTGAATGCAGAATTCAAGATAACAGGGTATACCTCATTAAAGGGAAGAGTTGGTACAGGATTACCTCTCTTGACATTGCTTCAAAATGCCTCTCATGCATTTGCTTCAAAGTGGGACCCAATTTGATGGTCCAAGTAGTTAATTTTTAATGCCTAAAAAGGCTAGTGTGTACTTATGTATTAAAAAGCTGCTTGCAGGGCTCAAGCTAGCACTTTTCTATAGTTCTGCCCTGCATTCTGTGATGTTACCAGGCTTCAGAATGATGTATAGGCTTTCTGCACTGTGCTTTATTGTGCAGCGTATGTTGATAGCTCAAGTATAGCGAGTGTCCTGACACAATTGAAAACATTCGAGCAATACAGAGTGATTGTGTTAGCAGGTGAGGCACAGCAGCTGTGCCCCCAGCCACCCAGACCTTTGTGTAGTAAGGCCTTTATTGAGAGCTGGAACGTATATGATAAAAGCTTAGTAGGTCCTGGGAAACTTCTAAGCTGTAAAGAGATCAGTTTTAATCAGCTTGCATGCACTGTAATTCAGTTGCAGTGTGTTACTTTGCACAAGTTGTAGTTTGGGTGTTTTCAACTCTCTTCTGTTTTGTTTTGGTTTGTTTTTTTTAATAAACAATGCATGGAACAGGGCAAGCCATGGTACAAAGAGCATGACATCTGAAGAGGTCCTGGAGATATATGGAAGGAAGGAGTGGAAGCATTTTAATACAGTCAGTGGAATGGTTTCACGCACAGGTAGCTATACTTTAGCATGTCTTCTTCTTTGAAATTGCTCTTTCCCTTCAGTGCCTCGTACAGTTTGTTCTTAACACAGATTTGTAAAAATACTCGGACTGGGGATTACTGGAACAGGTAAATGTATTGGGGAATACTTGGTTTTTATGTTTTTTAACTTCTAGTACTAGAATTCACCTTAAATTTATTTCATGGTATCTATTTTATGGTAAGACAAACGAGCTGACATTATAGGCATGTTTTGGTTATAGTGATGGGCACACACACTATTGATGAAGTAGACTGATGAAACCAGTGTCATGATTTAACCCAAGCCAGCAACAGAGGACCACAAAGCTGCTCATTCACTCCCACACTGCCTAGGCCTAGTGGACAGGAGAATCAGAAAGTATGGTTAATCTCATGGGTTGAGAACAATTTTTAATTAAAGTGAAATGTTGTTATAAATGTGCTAATAATACTACTAATAATTATTGTCTTGATAAGGAGACAGAACCTCAGAACCCAAGAGGAACAGTAATGTACAATACAATTGCTCAATACCTGCTTACAGATATCCTGTCTCATTCAGGACATATCTTAAATTTTTCTGAATTGTTGACTTGTTGCCACCAGTCCCATTAGTGGAGTCCTAGGTGCAGGTGCAATGAACAAAACAAATCTAGAAACAAAACTTCTCCCTGGCATTTGCAGTTCCTGTGTTTAAGATAGGAGTCACTTTGAAGGAGCTGTGGCTAGGTTTGTGTTCTTGCTCTGTGTTTCCTCTCTGTTTTAGTTTGATCTTGGCAGTTGAGAGTAACACACAGGATGTGATCACTTAAGGTGCATTTTGTTATGTAATGGAGATACTTTCCTTGAGATTTTGCTGACTGCTAATGCAATACTTATTCTAAACTGCAGGTAATCTTTTGCAAAACAGAGGAAAAGAGAGCTTTCCTGAGGTTATATAGGAAATGTGCTTTTCTTTTTCACTGAAACACGCACTTGGTCTCTGTTGTGAATGTTAATCCTCATTTTACTGGCTTGTTCTTGAGTATACCTGAGACAGCACAGACAAGATCATGAAAAAGAAATCACTGGTTAATTTCACTTCTTGAAGAGAGTTAGTTGAGCATGACCATAGTCTGAGGGGACAGTTGCAGCCTCCTGATACAGTTCTGTTTTCAGGACTGATGTAATAATGTGAGCACGCTTCCTCTTGGGCCAAGGAGCTGTCCACAGCATGTGTGTGCAAAGGACATGGATGTGTCAGACCTCTCCAAATGTCTGTGAACTTCTTAAACACTTTCCTTGTGTTGCACTGCTTGGGAAGTAGATATTTTGGAAGAGTTGAAAGATACTGTCCTGAATTAAAACTCATGCTTCTCCCCATTGTCTTTCACCAGGGCTTTTAGAATCTTAAAATATCTTACTGAAATCTCACTGCCTTCATATAGGTAAACAACTCTTAGTTGCCATTTATGACAATCACAAGTTAGCCTTTGTTAACAGAGATTGTGAAACAGATAATGCTTATTACCAGTAAAATCCAAATAGGAGCTTATAATATTACTTAAATGTGATTTTTATTTGTGATTAAAGCATACAGTACAGGGGTGTTTAAAGTATATTTTTCAAATTATTTTTTCCAGCTAAATACTATTTGTATGATAATTATTTTGACCTGCCAGGAGCTCTCTTGTGTGCAAGGGTTGTGGACAGCTTAGATCAGGTAAGAACTGGATTGTTTGAAAAGTATGTATTGCATTATCTTTTTCTTCCACCACCACATCTCTTGCATGCATTATTAAATGAATACAAATTGGGTATTGAACAGCATCAAGGTCTATTTCTCATTTGGACTATTCTGTGTTGGACTTACTGTATTAGAGTTGTCTCTGAAGATGATTGTGAGCTACATGGCATGTTCAAAATAAAAGTTCTTCCACCAGAGGGCACAAATAACTAGGATACTAATGGAAATGTGCTGTTTCCTCAAGTTTACCCTGTGGTATGCACAATGTAGTTCTTAAAGTCACCTTTAATTATGCTCGATTGTACTTGAAATAAATATAGTAGAAGTTTCCTGAATTTCATGATTTGCTAATTTGCAAGTTGTTAAACAGTGAATGAAGCTTCATTTCATCCTTTTTTAAGGTTGTTTTTGTCCTAAGTACATTGATCTGTGCACACAGATATAAATACACCTCTGGCATAGTATCTTTTAATTTTTTTTCCCTCTGGTAAACAGCAAATTAAATTCTTAAGGTGGAAAAGAAAATTGCTTGAACCTTTTTCAGTGCTTTTTAGGTAGATAGAATGTCCTAAATTCTGCTTTTGTAATTTGGTGATAATTGTTTTGTTGTGTAAAAGAAGATTTGAATGTTTAACTTGCATGCAGCTGGAGGTAGGAGAGGGTTCTTCTCATAGGGTAACTGTGTTGGTGTTAAAAGAGTACTGAGGTAATCTTCTGGCCAAAGCGCTGCTGGCCTGAAAATTGTCAGGGTTTAACCTTGTCTGCAGAGTGAAAATCCAAGCTGTGAGATGAGCGTCTGGGTCTCATTGGATATTAGGTGGCTTGCTGCTTTAGCCTTCACTCCAAAATAGCATGCTGAGTAGATTGCTGCCTAAGTCCAAGTGCTGCATGAAGAGTTAGCTAAAACTAGGTTATCAGGGAAGCATGCAGGACAGGTGCTCGGTAAGACTCTTAATTTTCTGCCTGATTAATCTCCTCCCCCTAAGCTGTTCACAGCTTAGAAACCTGTTGCAGTTGTGACACCTGTATTGTGTTTACTTTATATTTAATTTAGACTCAGCAGAAATCACCCACTTATTAAGAGAGAAAGCTCATAGCATATGTGCAGTAAGCTTTCACATCCAGTTACCAGTTCACAGGCTGGAGCGCTGACCCGGGATCAGTGCCGTGTTCAGCCAGAGGGAATTAAACCCGTGTTGTTTCTCCAGAGAGCCACGAGAAGTGGGTCATGCAACCTCTTTATCTCCTAGCAGTACTCAAGTATTTTATTGGATGTCAGCCCTGTTTCAGCAGGAGGGTTACAGTAATTCCCTGGAAGGTTAGCATCAGCCCCTTGAGAAAGATGCACGGCAGGAGGTGGTCAGCCTCACCAGCCCAGAACTTATGCCTGCAAAATGCTGCATCCTAAGGATTAGAAAGCATCACATTTTCTTCTTCCTCATTTCTAAAAGTAGAGCCTTCTGTATCCTGTTCTGTAAGCCTGCCTACAAAGTGAAATTTTCTTACCATTTCCAGACAGTATTATGGATTCAGGAAAGCTTTCTACTGGAAGCAGACGTAAGAATTACTACATTTGGGTTCAAAATGTGTTTGGACATGAGTTGGATGCTGGACTACCCTGCACTGTTAAAAATGTATCTGTTTGTACTGTGTCCAGAGCCAGAACTCTTGCGTGTTTTCAGACAAAGCATGGGAGCTTCTTAGTGGCTTTGATCTTCACACTGATGAGCTAAACAAAACAATGCTTTGTCTTGATAGTTCAACTAATAAAATCACATGTTGTAATTACACCGAAATCATGGTGTACTGGATGGCCATGCATACAGTTTTCTCTGCTTTTTGGAATTGGTCAGTACTCCTTTATATCTTGTATGCAGTGGCTGAAGATCTGCAAAAAATTAGTTTAAGTTATTTTAATCTCCTCTGAGTTCAAATGTTTTGAAGGAAGTATACCCAGTTTTAAACTAGTATCCATCTGTCCTCAGAACAGCACTCCGAGGAGCTTTTGGTTCAGTTCACTGATTATTTTTTTTTAAGAGAAACAATCAAAAAACCCCAAAACTCCAAACTAAGGGCTAAGTCAGCCACATAGAGTGTGAGGGGAGAAGGCAGGTGAATCTTTCTGTCTTGAGAAGAGTGCTAGCTTAGGCTACTTGCATTGCCCCTAGATAGATGGTCCCCAGTATCTTTTGTACATAGCTTTGAATAATCACCCTTGGTTAGCACCCTTGGCTAGCTGAAGCTGACATATGAAAGCTTTTCTCTTTATTAGCTCTTTTATGTATTTCTGTGGCAGTTAGCTGTAGGAATGGATTAAAAAAAAAACTTCTGAAAGCCACAGCACCGTATTTCCTGCTCTTAACCTGTAGAGCTGATAAATGATAAACAAACTATGCTTGTCAGTTATGCACAAAAGACCTTGTTTGTGTGACTTGCTGATTGTAAAAGTAAAGGCAGACTGTTCTCTGGAAGCCTCCATGACAAGTTTGGACTGAAATAGCAGTTTACTTCGGTATATATAAGCTACATACTTTTCATTTTTGTTTGGCACTGATAAGGGTTTGGGCTTGGAGTTTTTTTTAGTTTCTGAATGTTTCCCTCTCCACAAAACACCTAATGCTTACAAAATGGCTCATTATTCAGGTATCAGTGCAGGTATTAATACACAGAGGGCAGCAGTGCCCTGAAACTGCTAGCAGTTGCCTTGAAATTTATCCTGATGTAGATGTGGAAGGCCTCTAACAGCATTAAAGAAATACTTTCCATGACTGATAAACTCAAAGACTATACCACCTGCTTTACTGCTGCCAAATTACTGTGTAACTGAGCACCTCTTACGGGCTCTGTAGCTAATCCTCTGCTCTGTAATACTGGCTAGCTCTGTAATTGCATCTGTTTCATTCATCACTACTAAAATTTGTGGTGTTTGAGAGTGCTGTGGGGCTCAGCTGGTTGAGATTTTCCTCAACCCTCTCATGTGAGAGGCTGAAGGGGAAGCTGAGGTCAACTGGAGCTCTGCTATGCCTGGGAATCTTTCTAAGAATGGCAAAAGACTGTTCACAACCATGGATCACCTTCCCCTGTCCTTCTGCCTGAGCTGGGGTTTGGCAGTCTTCGGAGCACAATGCCATGAAGTGCTGCTCAGTCAGGCTTCTGGATAAGTATTTTATGCCATGTTTGGGGTAGGGTTCTTGGCAGAAGGGCATTGCCTCTAAATTATAGCAAAGGGATTTGCCAGTTCTTAAGGTGGAAGGTAATATGAATGCCAGGCATATTGATAATGTCAACATGCTAATTAATTAAGTTCAGTATCTGCAGCCCTGGGCATTTCTTTTCCCCAAATGTCAGTGGAATGGGATGCTCATTCTGTAAATTGCTGTTATAGCTGATGCCCCTTTTGGCTGTAATGTTTTAGAGTTCCTCACAGATATTCAGCATTTCTCCTTTTCCCTTCTTCCTGCCATCATAACCCTCTAAGAGGGACATAACTTGTCTGCAGTTACCTGCTGTTAATCTGGGAGCTACTGAATCCTGATGTTCTGAATCCTACTGTCTTAAGACTGTCTTACTCTGTATAATTTTGTTAGTTCATGGCGCTTCTGTCACTGTTTCAATATGAAAGCTTGTAATAGCTGATACTTCATATAATGACTAGGTTCCTTTTGACACTTACAGCATGATGGTCAGAAAAAATATGACTTCTGGAAGGACATGGTGGCTGCTATCCAACATAATTATAAAATATCAGCTTTTAAAGGTAAGTGGGTTCACTGAAGGCTCACTATAACAGCTGAAAATATTACATGTGCTTGCCGGAGCAAATATGTTTGCGAGTACACTGTAGGCTACTCAGCACAGCTTTTACTTTTCAAGTTTATAAATAGTTGTATAGTAAACACATGTTTTCTCTGGAATAAAACATCTTTATCATAACTATTTCAGTTTCATTTCACTGCTTTGATATCTTTAATAACATTTCCAATGTGCTATTTCACTCAACATTTCAATTTTTATTGCTATTTCAACTCCATTTAGAAGGACAAAGGGTTTCTTACTGTGCTTGATATGGTAATGTGGACATCCTCGAACTGTGTTTTGAATCTATTCCTTATGATCTTGTAGTGATATATAAAATCCAAAATGAATTGGGGAAAGAAATTCAAGTACTAATATTTGATGGTTATCTTTAGTGCTCTAGTTTTGATTAGAATTCTTCATGTAGTATTGACACAATAGAGAGGTTTTGAACTTCCTACCATTTGCAGAGGACCATTTTTTAATAATTTTTGTTTCTACGTCCAAAACCAACATTGTAATAGTGTAATATAAATTGGAGTAGGAAAGCATCTATGTATACTGTTCAGTGTGTATACTGTTCAGCAAGAAATTATTTTCCTTCCTTCACAGACATAACTTCAAAGTTACTCTCAGGCATATAAAATAATAAGTTGATAATAAAGGCTAACCATTGGTTGTGCATGCAGTTAATTGAAATTATTTTAACAATATTTTTTGTAAAATGTTTATATGCAGCTCAGTTCTGAATTCTGTACTACTATTAGAATTACCTTGGATGCTGCAACATTTATTAGACCCAAGGTGTAGTTTGGACTTCCTTAAAACTCTTGTTTTGTTCACCACATCTGTCCCACTTGCTGTTCACCTTTCAAATGTAATTGACAAAATTTTTTCAGAGAGATTCCAGGCAAAAATGGAAATTGATAGCAGGATGCAAATGGTAAAAACCAGCAAGATATTCCCAAACTGCTTTGTTTGTTTTTGTTACTGTGTTTCCACTGGAGTTTAGAGTGTGATTGGTAGTTATGAATTTCCCTGGGAACTTATTTGTACACAAAATAAATATATCCTTTCTTTTCTGCTGATACAAAATCAACACTAATCAACTGTAATAATTTCTTTAGAATTTTTGTTAATTCTTTTCTTCAAACTGTAGCAGCTCTTTTTTTAAAAAAAGGTGTGGATCATGCAACAAAAAGCATCATTTTTAAGTGTGTTCTTTGGAAATTAATGAGATCCAAAGAAAAGCTTAAACTTTGAAGTCATACAAGTAATTGCTCAGTTTTATTTATATGTGTCTGCTTGTGTGTGCACTTGGACATATATGTTTATACCCATAAATCAAGTACCTATTTCTGTATGTAAATCTGGAATCTGCAAACAAAATTTGCGATATGACTTTATCCTTTCTAGCTTCTCTCAGAGGCACATGCATGCATAAGAGTGTTAAAAATACAGGAAAGTGTAGTAAGTGAGAGGAAAAAGTTATAGATAAAGCGCAGTGATATCAGAAGTGAAACAATACAGATTATATGCACTACTCGAGTATTATAATACAAGAAAGTGATATACTCTGTCATGCATTACTTTGAAAGGTTTCAAGGTTTCACAGCGGTTTTATTTTCCATTTAATAACATAGTCCAGTAGCTAAAGCACTGAACAGGGAGTCAGAAGAACCAGAGATATTTTCTTCCTGTATCACTTACCAGTGATACTCCTATGGAACATCTCTTTTTGCTTTGGGTCCTTCTGTAATACAAGAATAAGGGCACTAATCTTTTATCACTGCTGACAAAGTGGTTTTTTTTTTCCTCAATTTCACATCTTGCATAACTTCCTGAGGAAACTCTCAAACCTGGATCCCAATATCTACATACCATGAAGCCGCAGTTTCTATCATAGCCCAGAATCTGGCCTGAAAACCACAGTCTTTTGACTTAACTCCATGTCCTGTAGAGGTTTTAACCCTTCAGAAAAAAGTAGTGCCCATTAGCAGTTAGTCAAGGTAAAATTTTAAAGGCAAACTTGTTCAATGGTCAGTTGAGGGGACGCAAAGTTCCCAGCTGGAAACGCGGTCCTCGCGGTGCCATTGTCAGTGGCGGAGCAGAACGACTGACCGCTTTATTTTTTGAAATCCAATGAGTGTTTGCAGTTCACTTTGATTTGTTGTCAGTATGCCCTTGTGTCTCTATGTCCCTTTTCTTTTTCACAGGATTTTTTTGATCATAATCAGGTGTCTGATGGATTTTGCTTTTCATTGTCTTAGCTATGGTAATTGCCTTAGATAATTGCCCTATGATTTTTTTTTGGATGGCTCTTTCAGATAGGCATGATTGTCCTGACTCAGCTCGATAAAGGGTATTAACCCACTCTTCTCCTTGTAAAGAAGCGAAGAACTGAGGCTTGAAAAAGGAAGTGGGTTCCCAAATAGTCTTGTGTTACTTTAGACATTCCATTGTGAAAAATAACTCAAAAATAGAGAAAGAAAGGAAAAATCTGTGAAACAATACTATCAGAAAAGCTTGGTGTCAGATAGCAATGAACAGAGATATTTGCAATGTGGCCATTTCTTACCTAGTAATACCTGCAAGAGAGGTCTCTGCAATTGATATCCCAGCTAAGCATTACATTACTCAAGAATCCATTTTATTCTCAATACTTTTTTCTTATTACTGGAATAGTTTGTGACTGTAAGGTGATTAGCATTACCTTGAATGTATTGGATTTAGTGGATGTTTTATAGATAGTTATGCAGAACAATTTTAAAGAAAACATCATGGGACAATGTATTTTACACTATCAATCTCTGTGGATGTATTATGGAATCAAAGTATGCTCTTTAGAGGATTAGTAAGAGCTTGAAGTACTGTATAAATTTTCCTTGTGAAAATTTAAAGATTTGATGAATTTTTGGACAGAAAAATCAATGGCTTCTTTAGGGAAATGTTGCCAAATACAACTTCTTAAAGCAGGATTTTGTTAACATTTCTTATCTTAAAGGCTACTTTCTCTCCAGAAGATTTGCCTTTCCCTGTAATTTTCCTAACATTTCTACAAACTGTAGCATCCGTGACTGTATAGTTAAAATTATATATTTGAAATATTTTCAATCAGTTTATAAGATTGTATGTCATTTTGAAAGTGAAAAGTCTATGGCAGCAGATTTCGTAAATTGCCCATAACAAGGCTTGTTAGGATACATGTTTTTGATCACAAGTTTATGGTCTTGGCAGAACATAACCAGTCTAGATGTCTGTGATATGTATGTTTTATCTTTAATATGCAACTTCAGATATAAGAAACAAAAAGCAAAGATGCTTTTCTGGCCAAACGAAAACCAATCTTGTGCAAAATATTAGTAGTTCCTAATGTTAGTATAGGAGTAGTTAGATACCTTTATTTGTCTTAATTGTGAAAACTGCACCAAAGAAGCAAGTGAAAAGTAAATTTGTTACATTTATTTGCTGTGTTTTCCAAGTAAATACAGAAGAGATTGTTTGGGTGCTTCATGTTTTTGATCACTTAAGGCTTCAGAAATTTCAGTACTTCTTTGGAAGTGATTTTGTACTATAAGAGGCTCTTAAGTTTTCATTTGAATCTCATGTTGGATTTTCTTTCCTTTGATATCCAAGATGCAGAAGAAATAGTGGTTTTGGATGGGCTTTATCTTTAGATAGATTGCTGATCTTCTTGTGGAGAAAATATTAAAAAACAAAAATCTTACAGACCTTCTCAAGGTCTCCTCTGAACTGAAAATCCAAAGCTAACATCAAAGTATAAGTTGTGCTTTTGCAACAATTTGCTGTATCATCTCTAGCTTTTCACCTTTAAGAGTTGCTTTCTTAGTGACTTAGTATCTGAGACTTAATGTGAAAAGACTTAAAAAACCAGGCATGAGGTTCCAAGCTGTAGACTTACTTGAAGTCCCACATGTTTGAGGAACAAAGACATAAAGCACAAAACCTGACTTAAAGTGGATGGATGGATGGATGGATGGATGGATGATAAGGGTTAGTGAACTATGCTTTTGAGAATGCTGCTTGGGCCCAGTTTCTTCTAAGTTAATTGGAATCACAGATCAATGTGGTCCTGAGCTGCTGAACACCAAGCATCTCCAACAATTTCAAGCATGTGCTTTGGCATAGATTTCATATGTGAACTAATGAACCAGAAACCTACTGCCTAGTCATATTTTCCAGTCCCTCTATTTGTTTCTGAAACAAAAGTTCCAAGTTGGTAGAATGGATGGGCAGCAGGATGTGCTATGTTTAAATACTGGGAAACACTGTTGAACTAATGTTCCTTTATTGTTTTACTAAATTATAGCCTAAACCACAGGTTTCCTTATCCAGCGGCATTTCAAAAGAGGAAGAAAAAAAAAATTCTTAAAGTTACTTTCATTGTAGGTCTTTACAGTTTCCAAAATATTATATAGTTTTGCTAATGATGGGTCAACCATCAAGCAAAAGGTATCCTAGCTTTTTTATTAATTCCAGTGTATTCTCAAGTATTAAGGATATTGTTCATTTCAAATGCACACAACCTAACAAGCTGCAAGTTGTGCTTTCATGAAGAAACGGTAATATCACAAAAATTTTAAAGGTAGACCTACATACTTCCTGTGCAAGTGATTAAAAGCTTTTGTTTAAAAAGAAAAAGGTAGATTTAAGGGTTCATAAGGTTTTGATGTATATGATACTTTTAAAGCATATGAATGGCAACTGTCACTGGAAGAAATGTGTGATCAAACTGTTAAGGTTTCATAATTCCTAAGCTAACTTGTCGTAGTAGCGTAACAAATTGATGAAATGACAACTTTTTGTGAGACATGTTTGTATGGTAAATATGGTTGTATCTACTGACTAATTATTGCCATCATCTGATAAATTTAGCAAAAAAGTCAAATATATTGCTCACATTATTGTGTTTTAAAGGAATGAACTCTTCAGGAAAAAATC